GGAGACCTCCGCCCTCTGCCCGACAAAGACCCGGAGACCTCCACCCTCTGCCCGACAAAGACCCGGAGACCTCTGCCGTCTGCCTGACAAAGACCCCGAGACCTCCGCTGTCTGCCGGGCAAAGACCCGGGCAAAGACCCCGAGACCTCTGCCCTCTGCCCGACAAAGACCCCGAGACCTCTGCCCTCTGCTGGACAAAGACCCCGAGACCTCTGCCGTCTGCCCGACAAAGACCTGGAGACCTCCGCCCTCTGCCTGACAAAGACCCGGAGACCTCTGCCGTCTGCCCGACAAAGACCCCGAGACCTCCACCCTCTGCCCGACAAAGACCTGGAGACCTCTGCCCTCTGCCCGACAAAGACCCCGAGACCTCCGCCCTCTGCCCGACAAAGACCCTGAGACCTCCGGCCTCAGCCTGACAAAGACCTGGAGACCTCCACCCTCTGCCGGACAAAGACCCCAAGACCTCTGCTGAAGGGCCACCCACTGGGCGAGCCCGGTTCGTGCGCCTCCATCATGGGTCACCACATGGGGTCGCCACGAGTCGTCATATAAACTCACCATGAATCACCTATGTGGACACCATGAATCTGCTATATGGGGTCGCTATGGTCACCATACGGGGAAATCACTGCAAGTTATCAAATGAGGACACCATGAATCTGCTATATGGGGTCGCTACGAGTCACCACATGGGGTCATCACTGTAAATCATCTTGTGGGGTCACCATGAGTCGTTACATGGGGTCATCAGTCACCACAAGGGGTCACCATGAGTCATAATATGAGGTCACCATGAGTCATGGGGTCACCATGAGTCATATAATATGGGGTCACCATGAGTCATGGGGTCACCAGTCATAATATGGTGTCATGAGTCTGGGGTCACCATGAGTCATGGGGTCACCGGAGTCATAATATAGGGTCATCATGAGTCATAATATGGGGTCACCAGTCATAATATGGGGTCACAATGAGTCATAATATGGGGTCACCACAGTCATGAGGTCACCATGAGTCATAATATGGGGTCACCACAGTCATAATATGAGGTCACCATGAGTTGTTAACCATGAGTCGGAGGCAACTCAACAACACGCAGCCACAACACAACGCCCTCGCAGGTGCACCCTCGCTGGAGAGCAGGGTGTTTCTGTGAGGTCAGGGAGGCCGCGTCAGCAGGGGTGGGGTGTCTTACACCCATCACTTCTGCGATCGAGAAGGAGATTAGACAGAAGAGCCAGCAGCACAGACGCCCCAGAACAGAGGAAGAGGAGCTCAGAGAGGCGCCCCCCGAGCCTACAGAGACACAGCGCCTTCTCCCGGAGCCGACACCCCGAATCCTGGCCTCTCGATATGAACACAAAGAAAACAGAAGTCCTCCCAACTGGGCCCGCGCAAGCAGCATCCTGATGTCGTCAAGCGATCATTTTCCTCGGCTCCACAATCAATACCCAAGGAAGCTGCAGTCGAGAAGTGGCCCTGGACAAACCTGCAGTCAAGGACCTCCGAGAGGGACAAAGACCAAGGCTGTCGCTTTGGGGACAAGGTTCACGTGACCCAAACCACAGTATTTTCAACTGCCTCGTGTGCATGCAAAAACTGGACAGTGAGAGCTCTGGTGACCTAGTGGCAAGAGGCTGCGCTGCGAGCCCGAAAGTGTGCGGTTCGATTCCACCAGATACTGGGGCAATCTCCACCTGTGCCCGTCGGATCAGATTCAACGGTACAGAACAACAACAACAACAAATCAAACAAATCCAAAGCCAAACACTGGACAGCGAGCCAGGAGATCAATGAAGAGCTGAGGCCTTCATCAGGGAAGAAAGCTGCATCCTCGGGGGAGAATGACCACCACGGGCTGTCGGAACAACAAAGTCTGTCTCCTGGATGAAGAGCGGCCAGCGTGCTCCTCGGAGGCGAGGACACCTGACCTCACGTACTCAGCCGAAGCCGGCAGAGGCCAGTCTCCGGAGAAGGACCTCACACGTGGCACAGCAGAGAGAGACCTGTGCAAACACAGCAAGACCCTCAACGCAATGGGCTGATGCGTGGCTGGACCAGTGGGCGCGGACAGAGCAGTGACCATGGAGGGGGGACGCAGGCAGAGCAGTGACCGCGGAGGGGGGACGCAGGCAGAGCAGTGACCGTGGAGGGGGGACACAGGCAGAGCAGTGACCGCGGGGGG